GGAGTGAAGTTCTGGAATGGCCTTCCAAGGGAAGTAGTGGGGGCAAAAGATCTATCTGGTTTCAAGATTACACTAGATGGGTTTATGAAGGGGATGGTTTGATGAGATAACATGATCTTGGTAACTAATTGACCATTCATTATCAGTGGGAAATAGGTCAATGGAGGGATGATAGGAATTTCTAGAGAACTTTCTGGGTGTCTGGCTGATGAGTCTTGCCCATATGCTCAGGGTTTAGCTGATCACCTTATTTGGGGTCGGGAAGGAATTTTCCTCCAGGGTAGATTGGCAGAGGCCCTGGAGGTTTTTCGCCTTCCTCTGTAGCATGGGGTACAGATCACAGCTGGAGGAGTTTAGCTGATCGCCATATTTGGGGTCGGGAAGGAATTTTCCTCCAGGGTAGATTGGCAGAGGCCCTGGAGGTTTTTCGCCTTCCTCTGTAGCATGGGGTACAGATCACAGCTGGAGGATTCTCTGCATCTTGGGGCCTTCAAAGTATTTGAAGGCTTCAATATCTGAGATATAGGTGAGAGGATTATTTTGGGAGGGGTGGGTGAGATTCTGTGGCCTGCACTGTGCAGGGGGTTGGACTAGATGATCATAATGATCCCTTCTGACCTTAAAGTCTATGAGTCTATGAAATGGAACAGAAACCCAAAGGAAGGGCTCACAGAACCAACCACGGAGAAGGGTGGTCAATCCTTCCTATCATCCTGGACTCTTTCTGCCTTCCACACAGCCTGACAACTTCCTCCTGTTGCACTTGGCTCGGTGGTGCTTTGAACTGCGATGGAACAGCCCAACCACAGGTGGATACAGCTGTCTCCACACACGCAGATGGGTAGACGGAGGGCTCTATCCACCTCCCACTGAAGTCAACAGCAAAATCCCTGCTGACGCTAGCCGTAAGGATTCCAGAAATGTGGATTATTTAGAATTCTGTCTTTTCAATGGAAATAAAAGGGACTGGATTTTAGGAAAATATTCAAAGGAACAACTTCCTTTTCCCTAATGTGTATGGTTTTTATGTAAAGAGCCCCTCTTCCCTCCTCCTACCAAAACAAGTATCAACAAAACCTGAACTCTCATAGCTCCATTATTTTTGTATTAATGGCCACCTTCCGAGAGAGAAGAATACTATTAGCAGGTAGGGCTATTAAAAGGGACTGGATTTTAGGAAAATATTCAAAGGAACAACTTCCTTTTCCCTAATGTGTATGGTTTTTATGTAAAGAGCCCCTCTTCCCTCCTCCTACCAAAACAAGTATCAACAAAACCTGAACTCTCATAGCTCCATTATTTTTGTATTAATGGCCACCTTCCGAGAGAGAAGAATACTATTAGCAGGTAGGGCTATTAGATCATGCAAGGTGCAGTGTGAGCCACTGACTTCAATAACCAGGGCTCGACAAATAATGTAATCTACTCACCCGTGGCGAGTAGGTTACACCCCGGAAGAGCCGGCGCTGCGCTTGCGCAGAACGATCTGTGCACGCGCAGAGCACAGAACCGCGCAGCTGGTGAGCAGGGCCCTGTGAATAACCCTCTCCACTATTGTCCTAGGAGAGCATGCTGCATGTTAAAACAGTGTTATTAAGAAGCAAAGGCCCCACTCCTTAAACACTTGCGCACATGGAACTTTACTTGGCTGAGTAGCCCTGGCGGGAGACTACTCCAGTGTGTAGACTGTGCACATGCTTGAGTATTTGCAGGACGACGGGGGCTTGTCTTAGAAAAGACATCTCAAGCGCAAGTGAAAAAGGAAAAGCTTGTTTGTTACCTGAAATGACGCCAATGCAGATGTAGAGCTGTAGAATGCTCGTGCAGAATGCCGCTGAAATCATCCCGACTCCACACAGCAGGCCTCCAAATATCACCACGGGTCGGCTGCCAAAACGATTCACTAAAATACTGCTAATAGGTCCTGAACAACACAGGCAGAAGAAGAATCCCAGGGTTAAATAGCTTCCAAACACGCTGCCTTTTTCAAAATAAAGTGCTTAAAGCTCATGGTAGTTTCATTAATACTTAAGTAGTTGGTAGCTGCTGCTTGAATTTCCTCACCCTAAGAAGGACGATTTGTATTGTGGTGGCGTAGAGAGGCCCAACTGAGACAGTGCATGGCATGCTAGTTACACATCAAATGAAATGAACAGAGAGGATATTGATCTATTGTTCTCCAGAGCCACTGAAAGTAGGCCAAGATGTAATGGGCTTAGTTTGCACCACGGTAGAGTTAGGTTAGATATTGGGGGAAACTTTCTCACTGTACTGGCAGAGGAACGCTGGACCAGGCTTCCAACGGGGGTGTGGAATCTTGGTCACTGTCCAACACATTCTTAAAAACTTCCAGACACCTGCCAAGGATGGTCCAGGTTTGCTCGGTCCTGCACCAGCACAGGGGGCTGCATTTGATCACCTCTTGAGGTCCCTTCCAGTCCCATCTTTCTATGAGTCTATAATAACGGACAGTTCCTGCACCAAGGAACTTACACTATAAACAGCCAAAGGGCAGGACGGGAAATGCAGCCACAGACAGGTTGGGGGCAAAACTGGGAGTAGAATCCAGGTTTCCTGGGTGCCAGATCCATGCTCTAAGCCAGGGGTGGGAAATAAAATGAGGGTAGTTCGCCAGGGTTAGCCCCTGGCAGGTCACCACCACTATATTCACCTATCCTCCTCAGGTACAGGCGATTGCAGCTCCCATTGGCCACAGTTCACCGTCCCCAGCCAATGGGACCTGCAGGAAGCGCTGTGGACTGGGACACCACTTCCCGCAGCATCCATTGGCTTGGAATGGTGATCTGCAGCCAACAGTTCCAGTACCTGTGGCCAGGGAGGTAAACATAATGGCAGAGGCCCATCAGGGGCTCACCCTGGTGAACCGGGTCTGGCCCATGGGCAGATATTGAACTATACTGCTTATCCAGCATTTAGAGTCCAGTGATCCCAACTGCCAGTGTCAACGGGATGAGGAAATAAAAGACTATCAAGAACATTGGTCCATTTGGGCAAAGCAAGCTCTCCTCCCCTGCACCCGCTCCAAATCTTCATGTGTCTTTACTTAGCGAAAAGTGGCACGGTGTTGGTTATACCAGGATAGTTAAAGCAGTACAGTGGCTGCAGTTATACTGGTATAAGTTGCATAGGGTGGCTCAGCTATTACCACACAGGAAGGGGAATAAAGCTATAGCGATATGCCAGTATATTTACTCTAGTATAACTGCATCCACACTGGGCCTCAGGCCAGGGCTTAGTTTGAAGAGGAGGGGAGCCACCCAGCTAGAAGATGGGCAACTAAGCAGAGCAGGCTGCTGGGTCACTCCACTTCCTGCAACTCCCATCACCATGGTGAGTGCAAGGCCAGACCAACCCCCGCTGTCACCCCATGACAGGCCCCCTAAGTAGTACCCCAGGCTGCCCTGGGCCCCACAGCTAACCTCTGTATGGAGAATTATCCCATCCGTGAGATGGTTAAGGCAGCCCTCAGGAAGCTCCCCAAAGTGTGAGGCTGAGGGTGGCCACCCCGAACCATCCTATGGACGCCACGGCTTTGCTAATGAGAGTTGTTAAGGCAGCAAAGAGCTAGATGAAAGGTCTGTGTTTCTAAGAAGGGGGCAACACAATAGATCATGTCTTGGTTTTATAGCTCCCTCCGTGCACCTAGTCGTGTGAGGAAGCCGGCAGCCTCAGTGACCCTGCACACTCGGATCCATGTATGACCGGGCTGAGGGGATGGTGTCAGGTCTTACCCCAGACCTCCAGAGTGGTAGGGGAAACAGGCAGAGAAAAGCTATCCAAAGTCTCACACAGCTGTTTTCTCTGCCTGCCCAGCATAGGAATCCCCACATGACTTGTCACGGCCCATCTCTTGTTGGACTGTAAAGTAGCTATGACCACTTCAGGAAGATTATTTTGATATTTCTCCTACATCTTCTGCTTTTGTAGGGATAACATATTAATGTATTGAAAATGATTCCCCCAAATGGAAGTGACTCCCCATAATTTGTTCCCCACAACTTAAAGTGTTTAGATTTATTATTAATTTTTATTATTATTATTATTTGTTAAGATTGTTAAATGTTTAGATTTATTATTATTATTGCCCCTTTAGAATATAATGTATTAGGTCATGTAACTTAGAACTGTTAAGAATATAATCCTATGTAGCCAGAAACAGCCCCCCCTCTGTGCCCCAGGGCATGCTCAAGCTTGTGCAAGGGGCTGCTTGAAATTGACATTGCAGAGATACATTGTAACAATGCATTGTCAAGCCACTAACTCTGCTATGGGAGCCAAGCCCTGTAATTGACTAAGGGCATTATTACTTACTTAACGCCTGTTCTCTTTAAAACATTGTAACTTTACTCAGCACTCAGAGAATAAGGGCATTGTTACTTAATTGAGGCCTGTTCTCTTTAAAACATTGTAACTTTATTCAGCACTCAGAGAATGTTTTAAGCAATACCACCCAGAAACTTTTGTAACTACAACTTTTGAAACATTAATTAGGGAATGTATGTAAGAGAGAGAGAGTGCTTGGACGATGAATGAATGGTTCTGAGAGGTGCCAGCCTGAGAATACAGCAACAAAGGGCTGAAGAAGGCGTCAGGTGCCAGTGCAACCAAAAGGTGTCAAGTGGAGAAAACCAAGTACTGGAGGTCCACCCGATGAGATCACTGATGAAGCACCATGATGCAGCAATTTCCATAGACTGGCATAGGAAGAAATTCCTATAAGAACTGGACTAAAAAAACTATGGAATCAGAGTCCAAGGCTGCTGCCAGCCTACCAGGAGCTTCAGATGCGCATCTGATCAGGACTTCGCTCCCCACTACCATCACTTGTGTACAGAGTACCTGGCCAGTATTCTGTCACAAGCAACTTCCAGGCGGGTAACTATAACAAATACACAGAACCTGAATGAATGGATGAATGCATGTTTATATGTATATGGGTTAAGTAGTTAAACAACGTTGTTTGCTTCTATCTTTTCTTTATTTTTTATTATCTTTACAATAAATGTGGCTTTTTGCCTTATCCCCCTCATAAGATCCTGCTTGCTTTTATTTGGTACAACACTTTATGCAACACCATTTGCCCATCAAATTCCCCCCCCCCCTCCAGCCCCCGGTATTTTGTATTTAGAGGCTCCTCATAATCTGAGATCTTCACTGTAGCTTATTTAGCTTGTGCCTAAACCCAGCACTGATTAAGGACATTGATCCAATGCTCGCTGGAGTCATAGGAAAGGCAGTCATCAACAAGCAGGTTTTGGATCAAGCCCTATGTGCACAGCTGGGACGGTGGAGATCAGAGCTGAAGGTAGGGCTACACTTACTCCTAACACAGAGGTTCACCCGAACCCATCCAGCCAGATCACGTGCATCAGAAAGAAAGGAGAGATTCATTTTCCCCTCATAATGGACCCACATCTGTACTGAGTTACATTCCCTTCTCCACCCACACCCTATTTGCTTTCATGCTTTGTAGGGTCTTCATAGAATCTACTTTTTTTAAGTGACTTCAGAGGGGTGAGAACTGCAAATCATAATATAAACCATCTCCATAGAAGGTCACATTAAGAGTCCCAGAAAAACACAATGACTCATGTTTCTGTTGTGTAAGCACCCCTTTACAATCTGAATGGAGATAAGATTAACATCTTTATAGCATAACGTGCTATGTGAGATTAGTAGGTACATGTGGCAAAATATGTATTACAGCCTTTAGAACAAAATATGTAATGTTAAGCATTTCACTGTTAAGAGCTGCAAAGATACGACACACACCGCTAGCTGTTGCTTCAAAATCCCAATGAAATCCCAACTCTAACACAATTAACCACGCCTGGTTATAAAATGCAAACGGTGAAGGAACCTACGGAATTCCTTTATACAGCCTTTGATAAGTTCCTAAATATTCCTACATTAGTTCATGCCAAAGCAGTTCTCATCCTAGTGGGTAAAAGGGAAAAATAACCTAAAATATGATAGGGATGTTAAATTGAGGATAATCAGCTAATCAAGTAGTCGATGGAATTTCCATCAACTACTCGATTAGTCGATGTGTGGGGGGAGGTTCTCACTGCCCCTGTTGCTCACTGCTACCTGGCTCCACTATATTTAAACTGCAGAGCAGAAGCAGGGTTAGCTCCCAGGGGTGGTGTGAGCTGGAATTAAGTAGTCCCGGCTCGCACTGCCACCAGAAGCTAACCCTGATGCGACTCTGCCTTTTATATGTAGGAAGAGCCGCCTGGCTCTTGCTATTTTTAAAAAGCAGAAGCACAGCGCAGGATCTGGGGTGAGCCAGGACTGCTTCCATCCCAGCTTGCTCCAGGTCCAGATCACTGAGGCTCTGCCTTTTAAATGTAATAAGAGCCACTTGACTCTAAGAGCCACTACATTTAAAAGGCAGAGCCGCAATGCTGCTGTGCCTCTGCTTCCCCTACCCTGCCCCTACCGCAGAGATGGTGCTGTGGGCATCTGGCTTTTAAGCCTTCTCCCCGCCAGCTCCAGCTTCTCCTCCCCACCCCACCTTGCTGCCTCTGATATAGGGGGACATTGTGAGTAGGTGACTTGACTACCTGATAACCCTAGGCTTATCAGTAGTCGACTATTCTTTTACATCCCTAATACATAACTGACTTCCAGCCCAAACAACTCACAGCCCCTTTGTTAAATTCACACCTTAAAAAGTCCCTATCCTTCTTCTTTTTAGCTAGATGCATATATCTAAAATTCCCAAAGGGAGCTGCACCTCTATTTGAAAAAAATTAGAGGGTCTGCAAACTTAAAAAGGTTGAAACAATGGATACAAGTAACCCTTTCCAATGTTTTTCTGGTGTTTAGTGGGTAAACATGAATTTCATTTTTTGCAATGAGAGTCTGTCGTGTTTATTGACTAAAATCTAAAATCAGCAT